GTTCCTGGTGTATTTGTGGCAGACACTTTCTTACTTGTGGCAGCTTACATAGCCCGCTTTTCAAGTATGCTGTCGTCCATCTTGGTCGTAGATAACAGAATGAGGCAATTCAGGGTAATTAGTTGGTTTGACTTCGCCAGGGGTAAAATGAGTATTTGAATGCCGCATTGTTGGCGTTGATTGCCCTATTGTTACCTGGGTTTATTCTCCACCAAATGAATGCGTGTAAGTCATTCGGCCACCAGAAATACACCCTAACATGGTCTTCTAACATACGACTTGGTTGCATTAGAGGCGGGGACCCGTATTTCTGCGTGTTCTGTTTTAAATGAGGAGACCGTGGATGATAACAACTGGACTATCTGTACATCCTCTGAAGGCAACGGATCAGATTACCTCCCATGCGAAATGATTTAAGAAAGGAATTCCAAAATCCAGTTCATTTTGCTGAGCATCGAGCACTAAAACGTCGGCATGTGAAGCTACCGGTGCTATTGCAATAGAGCCACAAGTGGAAACGGTCGCATTGCCTACCATCCAACCCTCATAGTTAATGTTCCTGGTTCCGGGTGCTGACAATGGTAACATGGACATTAACTCCACTCATTTCCCAACAGTGAGCCATTCGAACCGGGAAAGAAAAACTCTCCTACAATTGAGTCGTTCTCATAAACCTGTTGCGCCTGGCGCTAGGACATTCTAGGCGTGGAAAGGACAAAAGATGATGTCGGCAACAGGCATCGCTGACTTCAGACTGCTTAGTTGTGACCTATGCTTGTCCGTCACAACCGTTCTATCAACATTCACCGAGGGCACCATTCGCACAAAAAGTTCAACCGCAATATTATAACACCCCCGTGATCCACTTTAGATAAAGGAATGATAATGGGTCTATTTGGTAGCTTGTGGGGAACATACCGATTGGGGCATTATCGAGTAGTTACAGCCCAAGCGCGGAGTGTGACAAAACAACGGGGGAAGGTACACCTAAAAGGACACGCTTATCATGAAATAAGTAATCGTATGTTGTGAAAAACAAAAAAGCTAGAACAGTGGGGTATGAGGTACGACTGGCTCGGCGATGAAGTCGGTTGACTTGAACTGAAGGTAAACAGTCATTGTTGGCCATGAGTGACCTTGAACGGCTGAGCAACTGGCCAGGGTCACGAAAAATACAAATGGAAACGAGGAGGGTGAAGTTTGAAGCAACAGTATTGCAATCGCTGAATGGCAAGAACAAAACTGACCCGGTAAACCTGGGCAAAACCCTCGATCCCATGTTTCATTCCGTGAATCCGTGACACCAGATACCATGGGTGGTGAACACTTGTAACCCAGATACTCTGAATATGCCTGGACCGCATAACCGTACTTCTTAAACTATGCAGGCGCGCAGACGTGAACGACAGAACATTCAAATTTCTATCACAACATAGAGGGCCAGTGGGTCCGAACGCTCGCAATACCTCTCAAAAGCCCTGCATATCACTGAAAGAAATCTCCAAGAGGCGCCATCGTTGATGTGACCACTGAATCGTCAGACGCACTCAACATCACTCCTGAGAGTTCAGGACCGCGCGAGAAATAAACGAGTAGAGGATAATTTTAGCTCATCAGCGGGTTTCATATGATCCTGACATCGCCTTGAAATACTCGCAGCATGGTCCATACTAGAAGTCACCAACTGTGAATTTAAAGTTAGTTGAACATATGATTAATTCAAAACGAGTGAATGCCTCAGGTAGTAAAGTTGCGCCCAGTATCCTCTACTCAAATAGACGGACGCGGAATTCTGTGTCTTCGTCACTCGAGTAATGCTATCGAGAGAAATAGTCATCACAGAAACACTCAGTAACCTCTGATAATTCATACCTGTTAATATTGTAAACTGTAATCACAGTATACTATCAAATGAATGAACGACGTGTGCAAAACCTTGCTAGTGGGTCGAAGTTTTCCCGACGAACTGCCTGATGTCGCCCAGGAAGCAATCGCTCCATATTTACAGGAGGCAAGATCCCCAGTTAGAAATGGCTCCGCAGTCAGCAAAAGTTAAAGTTATAGAGGCAATCCGTGACTTGCTTAGCATAACTGCAACATCGTGCATCAAGGGAAAACCTCAAGCTCTTAGTTTAAATCGCTCAATGAGGTTGTCATTGCCCATGCCATACAACCAAACGACCCTAGCCCACGGGCACGACTAACATGTGGCTAGGATTCCACGATGCCTGATCAGATGGTAATATGAAAATCCCGTCACTCATACCGGACAGCCGAAAGGACCTACCTGATTGCCATGACCAGCAAACTCGAAATTCAGACAACTGCCTTCCGTATTTCAGTGCAGCATTGTACACGTCCAACTCCTCTTCGATCAAGCACACCATGATTTATTTGAAAGCTTATTTGCGAAAAAAAGAATAAAGGTGGACGGGAAAGAGACTTAGTGCTGGCTTACTACAATCATTCCGAGTCGCCTACACCTCCAAAAACTCATTCAGGTAATCTGGATAGAAACTGACAACAAGAACGCCACTGACATCGATTGGCACCCATGGCTTGCAGTGTCCAGAACATGGCGCAGTGGGGATCACGCGTTCCCCATCCTGAAAGGCCACCCTTTTGCATCCGCCACTCTGAATAATGCATGGAAAACAAAACTCTCTTCGGCAAACGATGGTTAGGCATACGCGACGCATGCCCTAACGAACGTGGCTTCTGATGCTGAGCACATTTTTCAATGGATAACTGAAGACCCCGTTATAATTGGTTTGTCTGGGATTCTAAGACAACGATTGTCGAACGCCTGAAGATGCCTGAGGTTCGATTCTCGAACAGACCAAATCTCAGAGCCATACAACAAAACAGCCCGCACTGAAGCCTGATTACCACTTCCCTTGAAATTCAGGGCGACACCACTTCGACGCCATAGATGTCTCGAAGTAACGAACGCAACCCGGGTCTTGCAGATTTGTGCATCTACCCGAACCAACAGAACCAAGCGAACTTCCAAGATACGTGAAACACTTCTTGGAGTGTAAGTGGTGTATTCAATGATTGCATGTCCACATTTTGTGGGTGCAAAGTGCATACCAAAGAATGGGATGACTTTGGACAATTTATCCAAAAACACCTGCGCCTCCCACTCTTCCCAAAAGAGGAGAACAATTGCGTCTGCATATTCCAGATCGAGTAGTGGATATCCTTGACTTTGTGTGCGGAAGCTTTTGGAGATCTCGCCGCATACTCACACACATACGAAACTCTGAGAATACAAAGACCTTATGCACACGAATTTCTGGGGCAGACATGGTGGGAGGCATGTCAAGAAGAACAGACCAATCGGCCGAGTCGTATACGCTTTTGAAATCCGGGGAAAATAGAACTGTGGGTCGCCTATACATATGGCATTTTTGTAGTACCTGACGGAGCGTGAAGATTTAATCGAAGCCACCCCTGCCAGGCCGGAATTCCGCTTGCTGCACTTGAGTCAGCATTTCATGAGCCGACGTAAGCTGGCGAAACAAACAGTTCCGTTACGACCAGGGGAAAGCTGATCCCCACAATCAGTAAAAAACAATTGTCTGGGGCAGACTCCTTTTCATAAATGCAAGCAAACAGATCAGATAAGCGCTGAGTGTGGGCTTCGCCCCAATCTTCGAATAAGGCGGGTGGGATAAATCGGACCAGATGCTCGGTGGCGCTTGAGAGAACGTATGCAGTCGTGAACCTATGCACTATCCAAAGAGGTGGCAACCTCGTCCAAGTGTGAGTTCACACCTGGTGGTGGGGCATTTGGAAGAGAATCTAGAGGACGATTCGGGTAAATTCGTCCAACATCCGGATTTGCCAGCCTCTCAGTTGCGAAGCGATTTGTCTGCACCTTGAACGGCTTTGGAGAGATGCGCTCAAGTTACTAGCCTCACCCGACTACTCCGCTCCCCTGGCTTTGGGGCTGCATTTGTAGTACAGCCGGTCATAGCGCAAAAGTGCGTTGGTGGTATCCTGCTCGCTACGCACACAACGCAGAGTAGCTATCCTTCATATAGTCGTCTAATGACTTCCCGAATCCCGAGGAGGGGGAAAACCGAGCAACAACCAGCCACTAAAGTAGAGCTAACCTCCTACTGAATCATGCAGATGGACACGCAACCTTGGCGCTATGAATAGAGACTAATTTAAACAAAATTTAAGATTAGTCCATTTGGTCTGAGCATACATACGGAGAAATACTTAAAACAAACGCGGAATTTTCCCTCGTATACGCAACGGTTCTGGAGAAAATTGCGCATGCCGGATGAGGATAAGCACCGATTTCCCGGACGGCGTTGATATGTACCATAAAATTCTTCCGCCTTGTGGTTCCCTCCTGGCGTGCAAATTGTAGCTCGCACACTTCCAGGAACCGAAGGTCTATTACATCCGTAAAGAGACTGCGTCGCTGTCCTCTGAGATGCTGAAACCGGGCATTGGTAACAGCCGACTGATGAAGGTGCTCAAGGATTTCGAATCCTGCCCAGCCCGAAGCAATTGGACGTGGTGCTTGGCATCGGGTACCCCGGTTCGAAAATTTTTGCTACCCCTTACCATTAAGAAACCTTGCATTGTTTTGCAGGTCTTTAGGTTTGAGGGCGATACACGAGTGGGGCGCAAACAGCCATCAGTCCAGTTCACAAGGGTCTCATTATTCCATCCCAAACAAGCCTCGTGAATTCTGAATTCCGGGGGATAAGCGCACCCTTAGCATGGTCGTCTGCGGCAATGACAACAGATTGAGCGCCGGGATTGTTTGCTCACCTGCCAGGATAGAGCCAGTAGCAAGCGTTTCACTCAGAAATACGGGTCCGCTGTGTACTCAGAGGGATAACCAGTCGTAAGGCCAGTATATGCAGGCATCGATCGGCTTTCGATCGAAAGTACGCCTCCATTTCTTGTTGGATCAACCAAAACATAAAAAGCATTAGGGAACGTGCAAGGAGTGGGTGGCCAAAAGTGTCGGTATGACCGCTAGGTTCAGGGGGCAACCCCATCCGACCAACCTGCCGGAGCCGCCTTGTGCTCCCGGTTAGCTGGTTCAGAATTAGGGGTTAGCTAGCTCCCCTAGGGCACCGTAAAGAGCTAACAAGGTTAGAGCACCTAACGACCGACTTTGCATGATGAATAGGACGTCGTCAGAGGGAGCTGCACTGTAGCAGGTTACGTTAAAACATTTCAGTAGTATGCAACAGAGCAGTCACCCGTTTCAGAAAAAAATTGGAGGCGAGACTGCCCAAGTGGTTAGAACGAGAATTTACTGACCGGAAGGTCAGTGGTTCGAACCCGACCTCTGCCTCTCGACTTCCCCTGTCTAGGCTTGAGCAACATGTCAGTATCCCAGCCCCCGTGGCACGGCAGCGAGTCACCGAGTTGAGCAGTTAGCTTCCGAAAATAACCATCCCTGGCCTCAGCAAAGCGCCTGAGAAAATCCATTCTCGGTGCTGGCATGCATCAGCAAACGCAGTTGGAAATGTCTTAATTATACGCTTCCTTCTCCATGATTTGTCAGTAGCCCTGAACCGGAAGTCAGACGGAATCTCAGATGTTCACACCTCTATAGTACTGGAAAAAGGCAGTGATTTGGGCATGGTTCGCTTCCTTGGTCAACACCACTATCCTCTTCAGTGAGCGTGATGCTATGGGCCATATTTTTTATAATTACTGTGACATCACACCCGTTTCGAAAGTGCACACCACGATTTTCAAAGGCCCCGTTTTTTCAGCGCGCAATGCAGCCATCACTGCTAAGCCATCAGAAACATTACATGAGTAAACTTGTATTTTCATCCGACCGAAAGTATGACAAGGTTGAAAACAAGCAGAAAATGTCAGTCCTACTTGGCTTAGACTACAGTGACTAGGCGCGTCGCTGGAGAGCGCAAAAGTTAATCAAGCTCTTGCAGGAGGGAGAACGGCCTTCAAAATGTTCTTGACATCATTTGGGAGCTGCAGAACGAAGAATAAACAAACGAGTTCAGAGCGAAAAAGTGTAGAAACATGCAATGCACAGTAGAATGATGTCGGAGCTACGAATTCGATACGAAATTCTTTAAACCACTTCTTACAACCCGCTAAGAGGTGCACAAGCGCCATGACGTAACAGTCATCGGGGGAAAAGCTAAAAATCCCGCAGCTGCAGTAGTTGACATCCGGGGTGGAACTTAACAAAACTACGGCTGCGTATCTGTGTATCGCCCAGAGAAAACAGCCTAAGTACGGGAAAACGCAAACGAAGAAACAAACGACAATAATTGATCGGAACATGGAGAGGATTCTGAAAGGTGGACTGCTGCGACAAATCGCGGCGTGTGCAAATTTTAGGGCAAGTCATCCGAGGAGCAGTCCGATTGTGTACCATTGCCCATTACATCAAACGATAAATGGATTTTAGAGTGAATTTTCAGCTACCAACCAATGCCGTGGCACGGCAGCGAGTCACCGAGTTGAGCAGTTAGCTTCCGAAAATAACCATCCCTGGCCTCAGCAAAGCGCCTGAGAAAATCCATTCTCGGTGCTGGCATGCATCAGCAAACGCAGTTGGAAATGTCTTAATTATACGCTTCCTTCTCCATGATTTGTCAGTAGCCCTGAACCGGAAGTCAGACGGAATCTCAGATGTTCACACCTCTATAGTACTGGAAAAAGGCAGTGATTTGGGCATGGTTCGCTTCCTTGGTCAACACCACTATCCTCTTCAGTGAGCGTGATGCTATGGGCCATATTTTTTATAATTACTGTGACATCACACCCGTTTCGAAAGTGCACACCACGATTTTCAAAGGCCCCGTTTTTTCAGCGCGCAATGCAGCCATCACTGCTAAGCCATCAGAAACATTACATGAGTAAACTTGTATTTTCATCCGACCGAAAGTATGACAAGGTTGAAAACAAGCAGAAAATGTCAGTCCTACTTGGCTTAGACTACAGTGACTAGGCGCGTCGCTGGAGAGCGCAAAAGTTAATCAAGCTCTTGCAGGAGGGAGAACGGCCTTCAAAATGTTCTTGACATCATTTGGGAGCTGCAGAACGAAGAATAAACAAACGAGTTCAGAGCGAAAAAGTGTAGAAACATGCAATGCACAGTAGAATGATGTCGGAGCTACGAATTCGATACGAAATTCTTTAAACCACTTCTTACAACCCGCTAAGAGGTGCACAAGCGCCATGACGTAACAGTCATCGGGGGAAAAGCTAAAAATCCCGCAGCTGCAGTAGTTGACATCCGGGGTGGAACTTAACAAAACTACGGCTGCGTATCTGTGTATCGCCCAGAGAAAACAGCCTAAGTACGGGAAAACGCAAACGAAGAAACAAACGACAATAATTGATCGGAACATGGAGAGGATTCTGAAAGGTGGACTGCTGCGACAAATCGCGGCGTGTGCAAATTTTAGGGCAAGTCATCCGAGGAGCAGTCCGATTGTGTACCATTGCCCATTACATCAAACGATAAATGGATTTTAGAGTGAATTTTCAGCTACCAACCAATGATTCGATAAAAAGCAGTGACCTCAAGGCCGCAGGCCATTGGCACACCCAAACGGAGTTCGCCGAAACTATAGGGTTTTCGAAGCGGCTATTTTAATGCGGAGACAGTCTAATCAATTTGCACCTTCACGTGACATGTTGCACGTAGCATTTTGTTTAAGTGAGCGGAATGTTAAGGTCATTGACCATCGCCGATTTGCATTTTCGGCCGGTTTACACGACATAAAACACGAATTCGCATTTTAGCATATTTTGGCGTGGCTCGGTGTTCCTGAAGAACAAAATAATATCTTAAGGGTATTTAATGCAAATGCCACCCTATAGGATCAGTCACAGGCGTTTGTTTGCTTTAGACACCTCAGATTTAACAAATGGGATATTTTTGTT